TGTGTTAAAATTAATCAAGACAAGCCACTAGAAGTTTGGGAGATGGTTATGCTGCGGATATCATTGTGACTCATTATGAGAATTTTACATGTCTAACTTTCAAACTCAAATAGACATAACAAATTAACTAAGTGCACTTACATAATCTTGGGCTTCGCGGAGGATTTATTCCTTTGCTGATGCCATAAAATACTACGAAATCAATTTCTGACAACAGCCGCTTTACAGAATCATTTGCAAACTGGCACCTTGCTTGACATTCAATGTTCAGGACTCTTCTAGCTTCCTCAATTATCTAAAGAATGTATTATTAAATAATATTATACATTATGACATATACACAACAAAATATTGTCTAAGGATTCAGTGTATAAAACCTACCTCCACATGATCAGCAAAACATGGATACATTGCCAAGAGCTGCTGACACCTGTGCTCAGCAGCAATATTCTCCAACCAGTCTCTCCTAGCTTGAAACTCTTTGTTTAAATATATATTCACAACAGTGGGATTAGGATTTTTTTTCTTTATTTCCTTCTCTAGCGATCTGTAGTGTCTCTGGAGAATCTCATTGTTGTGTCATGAACAATAACACCATCCAAAACTTCATTATCTATAAACCACAAAAAATTAGATGCTAAGAATCAACATCTATAGCACTTATAATCTACAGGCTCCTCATAATTTATGCAGTGATAGAATATTGCAAATGAATGGGTTGAAACCCATCACATCAGATTGATGTAAACATCATATAAATAATAAACAGCCATTACACTCCATACTACATATACAAGGTCACAGATGAATTAGAATAGTGTACCACCCAACTAATATGATCAAGAAAAACCTACCCTCAATATTCGATGCATCACTATCTCCTTTGGCTATTTCTGAACATTCTTCTTTCTCAGGAGGATTGGGCAGCACTTCTTTTACAAGTGTTTCATGCACCAGTGTTGTTTCTTCTTTATTTCTGCTCCTGTTTGGGCACGGCCCTTGAGGTTTTTTCGTTGGTTTGCTGTTGCTCAGCTTTCTTTTTAACTTGGTAAACAAATCCCTCTACAAACACAATGAGTTAACATCCAGCTATTACAGTATCTGCCAATAGTTTGGTCAAAGAACTAACAGAATTTTCATCAGAATTAAGCTAAAACCTTATTGAAATAACATGGTTACTAGCTATATATTTAAAGTAAAAAGCTGGAAAGGAAAGTTTACACTAAATAATAATATATAATGTAGCACTTACATGACCAGTTTCAGGATCTCTAAGGCATGGATAGACCACAGTGAGTCCCTTACGAAAAAAACACATGCAAAAACCACATGTGGAATCACATGTGACTCACATGTGAAATTGGAACCATTAAATCACATGTGGTTCACATGTGGTAGTATCACATGTGGACCACATGTGGTTCACATATGAGTCACATGTGGTTGAATACATGTGGTTCACATGTGAGTCACATGTGGAACAACCACATGTGGTTTACATGTGAGCCTGTTTCGACGTTCACTTGTGGATCACATGTGATCCACACAAACTGCTGTTTCCCTCGATCATGCACTGAGAATGCTCAAAATAAATCACTCGTACACAGTATGATCACACAGGGCTAAGCAAATTAATGCTGATATATTAATAATACCCATATAACAAAATTACGTGAAACATTTGACTAAGGGCTAGCTGCTTTCCACTGTGGCGTTGTTTGCACGTACATACACACGCTTGTAAAATCTTAAAAACTTCTAAGTTGTTGCATGATTATTTTTATGCAAGAAAACACAAATCGTCAACAGAATCCAACCCTATAGATCTATTCAATTGTTGATTTCATAAGTAGCATTTAATTATTTTAACTTACGTGCGTAACAGTATATAGGTGCAACAAACGCGACAGTGGAAACACACCCCCTATGTTAAGATACTCCTATGAATATAAAATATAAATTATATACAATACTACATTTATTCATCCTACTGCAGTCCTTAATTTTCTTGCTTTTTTCTTCGAATTTCCATGGACAGCCTTAAGTCTTTGCACTTTTGTGCCATGGCAGCCTTAATAACCGTGTCACTTGCTTGCGGGAATTTCTTGATGACCAAAGCTGGAAAAATATAAATAGAATTGTTAATATTTTTAAACTACTGATTTTATCATAAGGGTACTTGATATTACTAGAAAGTGTGTATAACAGGCCTTTTCTGACTAAAATATTATTTGACATGTTAGAGATATACATAGTATGAACTGAAACATGCTATTTTTACTACCTGTCAGGTTATTTAAACTTGAATTTAAATGAAAGTTTGTCCTATGTAGGCATAACAAAATACAAATACTAACCTATAATCAGTTCCACTTTAGTCCGATCCAACGCAGGACGCCCTTCCTTGCTTTTCCCTGTCACAGAGGACTCTGCCAATATTTTCCTTTCAATAAGCTGTCATCAGGTTAACCGTCATTTTTTTTGAAGTTTGGCGACCTCATAACTTCATTAATTTGGACTGAGTCAATGTAATCCTAAATGCATAGAAAATTAAATATGAAATTTAATAATTATGTTGAACACAGCTTTTTAAGGCAAGTTAGGTATTAAGTAGTTCATTTAAAATAAACTGTTTTGTTATATACATAAGAATAACATTAAATCGCTACATAGCAATTGGAGTTCATTGCAAACAAATAATTTAAAGTCAAAGTTACTTTTCTACAAGCGCATGAAACATATAACATTAAAAGTGAGCATAAGATCAACACAAATACAATCAATTTGCAACATACTGTTAACTTTGGTGAATCTGATTGCTCAGCTTTCTCAACACTTGGCAATTCTGAGAAACTGCTGGTGGTTGATAATGGGGAACAAGGTCGTGCAGATTGGGGATGTGGTTGGGACAATGATGGGGATTGAATTTTGGGAAAAGATGCTAACTTTGGTGGTGTTTTTTTGGTTTCAGTAAGTGCTGCTAAAACGGCCTCTTTAACCAATTCAGGCAATCCTAAAGGCACAAGCATGACAATAATGTAATTAAAAAATATGAAACTTCATTGTAAGCATATTGCAGTTATGGAATACATAATAGCTAAGAGAATATGTTCAACTTGACTTACTATTATTAAGTATTAAAACTTGTCTTTGCAACTTTCTGACTTCCTCCTCTAAATTGCTTGAACAAGTTGGCACACTTGTTATTTTATCTGGGAGATTGTCACTCTCATCCTTGTCAACATCTTCCTCAGACTCAGAGCTGTCAATAGCAATCCTTCTGTATACTTTTGCATATGCTTCTCTTTCTGCAGCCTTTTTAGCATTTGCACTTTTCTATGTAAAAACACAGTTAAATCAATATATACTGGTTCATGCATAACTCAATGAACTGTTCGCCCAAGCAGGGTGTGGGGCCAAACAGTGAGAGCGCTACCATGTCATTGCCTTGGAGACGTCTGATTACAGTGTAGAGTGCCCAGCAAGTTTTGATGGTTAATTTACAAGCTCTTTAATTACACCACATAAATGTTTTTTTAGCACAGGGTTAAAGGGATAAAATATCATGGGTAAAAATTCATCGATTCTTTCTAAATTAGGGGTTTAAAAAACAAAATGCTGCTATATACTGTATACAGTATACCCTTTCTGTTTAAGAATCATGAGATTATCATATATTTAACAATGGTACAGGTCAAGGCCCAAATGGGTATTCTAGCTGTAATTTCGGTATAAACCAAATAATAACATGCTTCAAACCTTAATATTTTCTTTGGTTTGTCATTTTCACAACTGGGCATATCTAAACGTCTCCTCTTCGCTTTATTATCATTATCGCTGTTATCATCACTGTTTATATCCTCCAATTCCTCCTTATTAATAAAATCAAGCTCAAATTTCATCGACTTTTTTGCTATCTGAAAGAAAACAAATTACTTGCTTAATAATACAATATATGATATATGTTTAACAGCATTCCAGTCGAAACGTCACAATGGATTGAATGGAACTAGGTCACGAGTACGTGTTGTGTAGAAAAACTGTATAAACAATTTGTTTCTAGCGCATATAAGGTCAATATATTCTACCTTGTTAAAACCTATACACCGTTATTGAGGAAATTTTCCGGCTATCACTAGTGTGTATGAGCCTCCCCCTTAAGTATTACGAAGATGATGATGATTGATAAACACTAAAGTTGAACTTACAATCTTCTGATTGCAGTTCGATCACTCCGATGGCGATGCGGCTCGCGCTTAAATAATCATTTTATTCATTTATAAAACCAGAGTAGCGAGCGATAATATAAAGGAACTATAATTTTCTCAGGATTGATTGAGATGCTTACCACTTGATGCTAAAACTTTTGCTAAATACGATTTCCAACCCGTCTTCGGGGCTTTCATCTTTGGATTCCCGAACATAACCATGCCTTCCTTCTTGGGGTCTTTCAGCATACTTTGTCTTTAACATTTTCTTCGTCTAATATGCTTGTCTCATTCGATTCAACCCAATGCACCAGTACGTATTTCATTTTGATTTAAGCGACAAAGAATATGAAATATAATTTAATATCTCCACGAAGAACCGCCAAAAATGTTGTTGACACTTGTAAAAAATTTGAATTTTGAAACGAATGCGCATCTCGTTCCCAGGTTCTTTCGGGTAATGTGACGTCACCTTAGTCGTAGGGCTATTTCTCCGGTGGGTGATTGGACTCAGCATTCTGAAGAACGCATATACTCAGCATTCTAAACTCAAAGTTTTCAATAAATACACTGCTGAACACTGCTGTACTTTTTAATATTTCTTATCGTCCTGGGACGAATGTATTGTACCGTAACAGTAATAATTTTGATAAGAAGTTTTATTTCATATTCAAAGAAAGTTTTTGACCAAAATCGGAATTCTATTAAATCGAAAGTGGAAACACTCGGCAGTTTTGTATTTCAAGAAGATGGCTGCCTCTGAGTATGTTGGTCTTGGTGAAACGAACGTGAATTCTTCTGAAAACTGCACGAATCTTCAATCATCTAACTGCGCTAGTAGAGGTATTACAAGAAAGAGAGGGCCGTATAATATACAATTTGAACCCAGAAGACGAAAGTTTTTAACGCTAAAATACCAAAGACAACTAAATGGCGTCGTACTCGTGAGAGGGATGTTGCGTCCTCTGAAAGAAACCTGGACGAACAAGATTCGATTGCTGAACCAGATGAAGAGTTACAGCCTTGTTCTGATCCCTCGTTTACCGTGGGAAATGAAAGTCATGATTTAACAGGTAAAAAATCTAGCATATAGTCAAAGTCATATGGCTCATATTAGACTACCTTGTTTCATGTTACCAAAATGCATGAATTGGACTTTCAGAGAACAATAATAAACATTGTTTTTAAAGAATGGGGCAGTTTTATACTCAATTGATCCCCTAACAGATATTTAACATCATGACATATTGCTGTAGTATTCTATAATTTTGTTGTGTATTCAGAAACAGTGGGTTATTAATACATTCTTATGGTTTGTGTAGATGATTGTGATAATCAAGTCAGTGATGATAATGACAATAATCTTAATCGATTTGTTCAGTTCCAAGAAGGTTGTGGAAATCAAGATGAAAGTGTGAGTGACCTCTATATTTTTTACTATAGCTAGCAAGCAGTTCATACTATATCTCTTGCTCTCCATCAAGTCACTTGGTGAATAAGTTTTAGATCTGTGTAAAGACTACAACCTAGTTGTGAGGGAAATACTGAATATCTTCATGTCACCTTTTTCATTATATAGGGTGATGAATTGTACCAATCTGAAGCTGACCAGGAACCAGTGGATGAACCATTGTATGAAAATGCACCTGTCACCCTTGGTCAGTGTCTACTACTGATAATGTCATTTGTTCTTGGCAATAACCTAACCAGTGTGGCTGTTGGTAACCTCCTTAAATTGTTGAGCATGATACTCCCAATTGGATCTCGCCTACCTCGAACAAAATATTTATTCGACAAATATTTAATGGTTTTCGAGAAGGACTTGAACATAAATTTTATTGCCCTAATTGCCAAACACTTTTTCAAACAAGTGAAAAGTTAAAGTGTTTCATTTGCAATGTAGAATTTGAACAACACAGACTATTAGAACAAGGGAGTTTTTTTTATACCTCCCAATTGAAAAACAATTAAGGGACTTCTTACAAGAAAATAGTGTATCAGATAATTTAGATTATCGTTTTAATCGAGATTCACACAATAGTGTAATTAGTGATATCTATGATGGGCAAATGTACAGGTCGCTTGGTGATGGCATTCTAACTTCTGATAGAAATGCTCTTAGTTTGTCTTTTGGTTGTGATGGTGTCCCAGTTTTTCGCTCCTCCTCATTTAGTATCTGGCCATTACAGGGCATGCTTAACGAACTTCCTCCTAAAATAAGAAAGCAACATATTTCTTGATTGGTCTTTGGTTTGGACCAAGTAAACCAAATATTCTGCAATTTTTGGAACCATTTACTAGCGAAATGAGGCGGCTTGGGTCGGTTGGAATGAAATGGTTACGAGCTGGTGTTGAAGTCTGCTTTAGGGTTTTTGCTTGCATTTGCTCATGTGACAGTGTTGCCAGGTGCCATATCCAGAATATTCACCAGTTTAATGGTGTTAATGGTTGCAGCTGGTGTTATAACCCTGGCATTCAGATTCACAAAGGTCAAGGGCATACACGGGTGTATCTCCAAAGTCCTGAAGGGTATAACCTTAGGACCCAAATGGAGCTAAGACATGATGCAACCAGGGCATTTAAACAGCAGGAAACTGTTTAATGGCGTAAAAGGGCTATCAAAGCTGATGGAATTGCCATACTTTGATATTGTTAGAGGATTTCCAGTTGATAACCTTCATTGTGTCGATCTTGGTGTATCACGGCAACTTGGTCATCTTTGGTTTGACTCTTGTAACCACCAGGAACCTTGGTATTTGGGCAGGCATATTGCGGAGATTGATGCTAAACTTCGACAAATAATACCTCCCCATGAAGTGACAAGGATTCCTCGCTTCAGTCACACAACGAGCTTATTGGAAAGGCTCTGAGTGGCACTGGTGGATTCTTCTCTATTGCCCTATTTGTCCTTTATGGACTGTTGCCTTCAAGGTACTATCACCATATGCTTCTTTTATGTCATGGTGTGTACTTGTTGACTAAGGCCTCTATTACTCATTCAGACCTAAACCATGCCAGTGCTTCATTGACCAAATTTGTTAATGAGTTTCAACAACTTTATGGTGAAATTCACATGACATACAATATTCACCAATTAAATCATCTCACTCAACGGTAATTGACTGGGGGCCGTTATCTATTTATTCTACTTATGTTTTGAAGGCTTCAATCTTGTATTGATGAGACTTTTTCATGGAACACAAGCTCTGCCCATGCAAATTGCCAATTCATTTCTACTGTATCGAGCTCTTGATGCTCTTAGTGATGTCTCACTTGAAAATGATGGGGAAAGTGCTCTTCCTTTTCATGGAAGCTCAGTTAAAAGGCACTGTGCTTTTGAAGAAAGCGAAGAGGCTTCGTAATGGGGTTGTGGCTTTGGGTGCGTCATATTGTCGGCCTTTTACAATTGAAGAGAGATTTTTTGTTGAATGATGCTTGTTATGATGCAGTCCACGTTGAACAAGCTGAGTTTTTCACCAAGGCTGTTGTTGATGGCATTGTTCTGGACTGCCAACAATATCCGTAACTCTCGCAGAAGGAATTCTATTGTTGGGCTCACAGATGGAATATAGTGGAGCTTAAAGTATTTGCTGTTGTTGATAGTGTGTGTTTTGCTTTCGCAGGTCTATTAGTGTGGTGCGGCAACCTGGCTTAGAAGGGATAGTGAGTGTGGTCGACTTTGTAATAATATTTTTGAAGTGCTAGAAATTGATTCAGTGTTACAAATAGTGAGGTTAAATAACATCAAAGACAAATTATATTATTTAATCAGGAGAGTTTTGATGTAAATAACTTTATATGTAGATTACCAAATATGTTTGATAGAGATTAATTGTAAATAAGAAGAAAACTTAAATATACAGTATTACTTAAACTGAGCAAAGCAGTAACTATTATTTAGATGATTACGCATGTGTACTTGGGGATAAGTATGTAGTATATGTATGCATCACATTACAGAAGTTTGCTGATTCATTATTAGTTTGAAGTACATTTTCATGTCAACCACATTTTGTTCACATAGGTTTATAGATTTTCACATGTTAGCCTTGTGTGATCGCATATAAACCACATGTGATCACATATGAACCACTTGTGTGTAGAAACATTTCTCATGTGAACCACATGTGTATCTCATATAACCACATCTGCATCACATGTGGTTCACATGTGCCCTCCATATAACCACATGTTTTCACATGTGAACCTCGTGTGTATCCAATAAAACCACATGTGGTTCACATGTACCCTCCATATAACCACATGTGAACCACATATAATCACATGTGATCACATGTGAAGCACATGTGAACCACATATAATCACATGTGATCACATGTGAAGCACACGTGGTCACATGTGAAGTACATGTGGTCACATGTGAAGCACATGTGAACCACATATAATCACATGTGATCAAATGTGAAGCACATGTGAAGCACATGTGAAACACATGTGGTTTGCATGTGTTTTTTTCGTAAGGGGTGACTTAGCCATTTCCTCTATTTCTGCTGTGAGTGGATAACGACAAAATGGCTCAGATGCTGCTGCTGCCGTCATGTTGACAATAGTTGATCTAATTAGCCTCTGCTTCAATGCTGTGGACATTTTTCCCGATTTAGCTATAGCACGTAATTCTGAATCAACATAGACAGAATATTCTGGATGCTCTACTTTGACACGTTTAGTACAAGGTTCAGCTTCAGGATATTTTACAGGTTTTGGGGTCGACACTTTCAACACATCATCTTCAAAACATAACGAGTTTTCTGAAAAATCATCTCTAGTAGATTCAGTTGAACAGGAGTGTGAGGATGATACAGGACTTGCATCTCGCGTCTAGTAAATATATAAAATAAATTGAAATATTTTAGGAACATGCAACATTGTCTCAATCATTCTCTTAAAGGTTGCTTTGGAAAATGTAATAGAAGGCACTTCAAGTCTGTTGCAAACATTCTTGGACACAACAGCAAAGAAGTTGGTTGATGCAAGGAAAAATCATCATTCCGAAGAAAAGGACTTCTCAGAAATCATTACTGAAACCTTATTAAATGATGTTAAAAGCCCATTTAATGGATTGGACACCCATTTCAAACAGGTATCATACATAAAACAAAATTTCAATTATGTGAACTATCGCGAGGAATTATTGGGACAACAAATTAAGCGAGTTCCAAACGCATCTTGGTTGAGAAAGAAGAATCCTTTATTTACATTCCCATCATTGAAAGTTTGAAACAACTTTTCACAAATAAGACTCTTGCAAAAGTTATCTTCAGAAAGCCTAACACATGTAATGATGAAATCTTGTATGATATATGTGATGGTGAATTCTTTAAGAATGATAGACTTTTCGTTGATCACAAAGATGCTTTGATAATTATAATTTATCATGATGCATTAGAAGTGTGTAATCCTCTCAGTAGTCATACAGGAACCCATAAGGTCGACATGTTCTATTATACATTGGGAAACCTCAGTCCAAAGATTCGGTCAAAGCGGTGTGCTATTCGACTGTTGGCAATCGTAAAGTCGAATTTGGTCAAGAAGTATGGCTACAATGCTATTCTGAAACCAATTATTTCAGATATAAAGAAGTTGGAAAGTGGCCACTTGTTCCAAGTTTGTGGAAAAGAAAAGGAAGTCTTTGGCAAGGTTGTTTCATGTGCTGGGGACACTGAGGGTCAGCATGAGTGGGGTGGTTTTAAAGTTGATGTTGGATTTTCATTCCACAAATGTCATCATTGCCAATGCCATTTTGAAGCCATGCAGGAGAAATTTTTTGAAGAAGATTTCACAGTAAGGAATAAAGAAATGCATGACAGACATTGCCAAGAAATTGAGACAGCACCGAATGATGTTGTCAAAAATGACCTGACCACAACATATGGTATTAACCACAGAAGTTCCTTGTGTGATTTACAAGACTTTGACATCAGCATTCAACTCCCACAAGATATCATGCACACTTTGTTGGAAGGTGTTGTCCAATATGAGCTACGCCATATATTATTGCATTACATTACTAACAATACATTTACATTAGCACAGCTAAATGCAGCTATAGCTAACCAAGAGTATGGTTACAGTGAAGTATCAGACAAACCTGGTCCATTGAAAGAATCTGTTTTTCGAGGAGATGAACGATACAAACTGAAGTATAACGCTGCTCAGGCAAGGTTGTTTTTAAGGCTGATTCCCTTTATCTTAAGCAGTCTAGTGAATGAACATGACAAATTTTACCATTTGGTTACTGAACTGATCTCAATTGTTCAAATTCTATTCTCTCCTGTTATAAGTATTAACACTGTGAATCAGTTGAAGGACTTAATCGCAGAACACCTCACAAGATTTAAAGATTGCTTTCCATCTACTAACATCATCCCGAAGCAACATTACCTGATACACATGCCATCAATGATAAAACAACTTGGCCCTTTGATAAGACATTCGTGTTTCGCATTTGAGTCAGCTCATAACTTTTTTAAGGAGACTGCACGGAAGCAGAATTTTAAAAACCTTACAAAGTCCCTCGCAGAAAGATGTCAAATGAACGAGTGCAGCAACTTTGCTGATTCCAACAACCCGCAATCTCATCCACTATTTTCTAATGAAAGGCAATATGGCGTACTGACCCCACTAAATGAGTTTGGTAAAAAATCATTGCGATTGAAACTCGATGATTTTGGTATGTTACCTGGGATTGTGATAGACAATGCATTTAAAAGCAGTTGGGTTCTTTGCCATGGAACAAAGTTTAGAAAGAATGCTGTAATCATGTACAGTGTTAATGAAACAACAAGGTCACCCCTCTTTGCTACAATATTGGATATCTGGATTGTAAGTGATTTTGTCTATTTTGAATGTTCAACCTTGGAAACTACTGGATTTAGTGAACATTACCAAGCATACGGTATTGAGGAAAACAAAACAAGTACACAAATTGTTTTCTGCCCTTATGAGAACCTGGTTGACTATAATGTGTTTCACATTCATAAAGACCATTTGAAGAATTGGTACATTTCTGTCAAGTATGACATTAATGATTTGCTTACCCAACATGTCAAGGGTTGCAATCCATTAAAATTCCATTGAGTTTTGTTGATGTGGACTTAAACAAACAATGCATGTATGTATGTACTTGCACTATAGTATTGTGTATATATTTGAATATTCATACCTTAAATATAGACTTGCAATCCAAACATTAGGGATAAATATAGATTTTCTGTCCTGTTCAAAATATCAAACTCTGACTTTTGCATTGTAATATTGTATTGTATAGTAGGTTTTAGTTGAATAATCAGAGGCAAAAAGTGATGAAAATTGTTACCAAATACCTGCTATACTGCAAAAATTGATTGTACATATAGGACTTACCTAGATATAATTTTATTATAAGGGGGACAGACATATTTGTTCATTGTGAATAATAAAAATTTTGTTGTATAGTGATTTTTCACTATACCCAATTTAACTCCTGTTTTCTTATATCATATATTCCAAAAATGCTTTTTTGAAAGAGGGATCAGACTATATATAGCTTTCCTATTCTTGTGCTCTAGAAAAAATTTTCTCATTGAGAATTTCAAGAAAATATTTACTTGAAACAAGAAATATTTGGGATTTTGAAGTCTTTGTTCTCAAGATTTATTTTCTCATATTGAGAATTCTAGAAGTTGATATAAATTTTCTCTTATCAAGAAATTATTTACTCAGTTTAAGAAAAATTTTTCCAAATATAGAATTTCAAGAAAATATGTTCTTGGAACAAGAAATATTTGGGATTTTGAAGTCTTTGTTCTCAAGATTTATTTTCTCATATTGAGAATTCCATAAGTTGATATAAATTTTCTCTTATCAAGAAATTATTTACTCAGTTTAAGAAAATTTTTTCCAAATATAAGAAAAATAATTTCTTGTGTCAAATCTGTAAATTTGTGGGCAGGACATTTTCTTATTTTGAGAAATCACTTTCTAAATAAGATTTTATATTCTGGAATTAGAAAAAAAATTCTTACTATAAGAAAATTTTTCTTTTCATAAGAAAAAAATTCTCAAAATATGATATTTTTTCTCGATAAGAAAATGACTTTTTGCTGTGTATGAAGTAATTTTTTTGTGAATTAAGAGTCTAAATAAACATTTACAATGCATGAGTTATATTTATGCCATAAGTTATATTTATGCCAATTGATACCTTTCAACATGCCAGCAACAATCGAGCCAGATGGCTTAGATCTGGTGAGACAAATATACCCTTTTAAGGAAATAAGCCAATTTTGCAAGCGGGGCACTGCTCCAGTTTTAGACTAGATGCACGCGTCATATTTAAATTGCTTGGATATTCATGCAGTGGCATAACGAACAGAGGATGATGTCTTGAGATATACTTGGTACTGACGGGTCCCTTAATTCGCTGTTTGTCATTGATCACGTTTTGCTCATATACTATGATGTTTCGTTATCTATTCTGGCCCCCAATAACTGGGGAACCTTATTTTAGTTCTCGTCCTAACCCTACCGAACGCGCGTTAGGTCACTGTATTTATGTCTTCAAATATTAGCTAGGGTATTTCAATTGTTGTATATAATTTGCATGTCAGACTGCATTAAAGACAACGAGCTGAAATGCTGAACCGCATTCTCGTCCTAGGATGCGGTCCTTTATTTTGAATACATTTTAATCAGTAGCTGCTTCGGACGGAGGCCCTGCTATCAGATTATCAGATGTAAATAAATTAGCTTAAATTTATCGCACTTTGTAAATAAATTTACAAGTGCGATAATATGTAACACGCAAAATCCCTCAATTTACTGATTTTAAAATCTGGTTTTGTCTGTTTACATACATTACAGACTTCCTACAATTATGCAACTTAATTAGCACCTTGCCAAGGCATATTATGGCTCGTAATGCTGTAATATATGGCTTGCGACGTTGTTTGTGCGCGCGGTGAACTTTGGCTTTATGGAAGCTACAGAAGTATATTAAAACACAAATTCTAACCATTCAGTGCATTACCGAAGCACAAAAACGATAAATTTTTAAAAGAAAGCTTATAACGTGAAATTTGTCGCTAATGAAATAAGAGCACGCTAAGCATAAACCAGAACATGAAGCGCAAAAAAACATTCGATTAGGCTAAAATGATATAACCCTACTATTTCCTTTACAAGCCTTCTACTAAGGAACTGAATACATTTCTGGGAGTATTTCTGTGTAACACATTCTGCGCTTCTTCTCTAAAGTTGTAACATTGCAAATGTTTAATCGAATGTTGAACCAAATCCAATGCGATTGAACGAAATTCCGGCAAACGTTTCAACGAACGGGAAATCAAACCGTTGAACGCTTTTGGACCAATTTTCGAACGATTTTTCCTAAGCGTTCGAACGGGCAATTTCGAACGATGAACGATCTCGAAAATCGTTTCAACGAACGCTTGAAGCGTTTGAACGGCAAACGAACGGATAACGAACGATATTTTTGAACGAACGAAATAGCGTAAACGTATGTTTTCCCGTGGAAGGTCACATATGTTAATGTAGTCTTTACATATGTGATGTCAACAGTTATTTAACACAAATGTTCGCCTATACTCGCGCGATTCTTTGACGTTCATATGGTAACCGTATTTCTTGTTTCGCATAGGTGGCTTGTTTGAGTAAAAACGAGCTAGTACACTGGCTAGTACACTGTTGGCTTGTTCTCCCTGGATTTCCTGTTTTACTTGCTCTCATAGATATTTAATGGAATATTTTTCCATAATCGCGGGTTAGGACGCGCAGTCAGCAATCGGTCCATCGGGCCTAATAGTGCCATATAAGGCCACATAGGGCCCAAACGGGCCTATGAGCATATGCTCAAAAATGTTCATGAAAAGATGCTCATCTGCTCAATGAGATATTTCAGGCTCAAGCTCCTCAAAGGGAGGAAAAAGGGGGTATGGCGAATGCAAAAATGTATGCATTTTTAGAGGGAAATATATATTGGTGTTATGGACAACGCGATGCTTGGAGCATAAATTAAGACACGGATTAACGCTTGTAACAATATAATAAAGTAGAACAATTTTACAATAATTTTAAACATATTGTCCGGGCACTACACTGTTTTCTTGTTTAGATCGTTTGACTTTGTCTTCCTTAAGCAAGAGTTTGCGTTGACAAGCCCGGACTTTTCCGGGGCTAATACGGGGCTAATAAAATACCTGACCCACGAAAAAATGAGCCAATTATTATTAGGAATTTGTTGAGCAATCATCTTAATATGCGTCGCACGCGTAGGAACTGTCCTGTATTTAACTGTGGTAGTATAAATTTAGCAAGGTTAGCAAATCATCTCGACCAAGTACACGGTATGAGCACAGAGGAACACTGCGCACTGCGCAAAAGGTGAAGTCCGCCATGTTTATTGCTTCGAAAAGATGGCGGCGAAGTTACCGAAAAATGACAAACCAGTCCTCCAGGAATTATAATATAGCTCAGTGTTTTGCTCCCAAAGTTCTTACTGCAGATATATGTGGGAACATCTAAGGTCAACAAGTCCCACAGTTAGTTGAAGTAGAGTAGTACATGAACTGAAATACGTCTCCAATATTACTCCTATAGCTTCGACGATGTCCGGAATGCACTATCACTGTAACCTATGCATTAACTTTACATGTCAAACTCTTCGCTCGTTGATCAATCATCTCGGTCGGGTTCACAAGAGTGATCGGGATTTCCATGCGCTATGTGGCATTAATGAATGTCCACGTACGTACACGAACTCTTTCTCTCTGCG